CGTTTGTGTGTGTGTTACCCCTGGTGTTCTCCTTCAGTAAGAGGCTCTGGGGGCAGCGGTTGTGAATCAGCATGCGTGGACACTGATCTTCACTCACAGTCAGATACGTGACGCCCAGATGCTCCTGACAGGTCAGAACCAGAGGCCTGAAACACAAACACACACACACACACACACACACACACACACACACACAAAAGAGTCACTTACTGACCACAGAAGCTGCCCAACCCTCCACCCAGAGACACCTGAGATGCCCGGGTGCGTCATTATTAACACAAGACTCACAGAGAGCGAGAGAGAGTTCAGTTGAGCACACATGAACACAAGCGCTTGATCTCACGATTCGCTGTGTTTCTGAATGTGTCCGATCACACACACCTCAGTCTCAGTGCTACAGCATTCATTAGTAAACGGTTTCACTGACTGCTATCGGTGTTTCTAATAGCAGCTACAGTGATGAAATGTCTTTATCTATTGCCTCTTTTATTTAGAAGCAGGATTTATTCCACCATATTGTGTTGCAGTTTCTCACATTCATAGTGAGTCCTGGTGAAATAGTCTTTTTTGGTGGTCAGTGTAATCACGTCATCTAGCAGCAGAAGTAACAGGACCAAACTAACCAGCTGATCTCCAGAATGACACTGACGTCTGAAGGACCTCTAGCATCTCGTTGAGGACCGAGGTGTGTTAGCGTCACATAAGCACACGTGACTGAAGTGTTGCTGTGGTTCAGCTGTACCTGGTGTTGAAGGGCCAGTCGGTGTCCGGCTCCACCGGCACAGGAACGCTCTTGTCTGGGGAAATCTGTCCTCACGAGGGCCGGAGGACTCCACTGCGCCTCTGCACTCTCCAAACTCAGCAGCAGCTTTATGTCCTCTGCTGTCTGACTGTCCTGCAGAACATCCCAACACGGCACCACACCGCACACCTGATCTCCAGCCGCACCCAGAGTGAAGCTGCACGACTCAGGGACGTGTGTGGGCTAAAAGACAGACAGAGAGACAGCAGTTAGAGTTAAATTCCAGCTTCTTTTTACTTTGGGGTGAATGTGAACTTGTTTTTATAACATTCACGTCAATTTGTGTTGTATTGTGTTTCCGTGTGTGTGTGTGTGTGTGTGTGTGTGTGTGTGTGTGTGTGTGTGTGTGTGTGCTTATATAAAGTAGCA